GGGGAGAGGTGCGCGGGGGGTTGCGGGGGGAGCGTTACGGAGCGCGGGTGAGGGGGCGCAGGCGGGGACGGGATGGTGAGAGGGGATGGTGAATCGGGGCTACAGGAATCATCGATGAGGGGAGCCGTTCATTCTCGTGCGGGCGGAGGAAGGACGGAAGAAGGAGAGGGGAGGGGGTGGAAGGGAGAGTGTGGAGGGGAGAGGGATGAAGGCGGTCAAGCTTAGCGCGCAGCGAGGACGCTTTGCCGCCGTGGGTAAGGGGTACTGCCGCTCATTCGTATTGCGTCGTGCTCTGGCGGATGAGCGGGCGCAATGGTTGATTGGCTCGGCGCGCAGCTATTGGATCTGTGTCGTGATTGCATCTTCGAGGGGGGGAGCAGGAGCGTTGAAGAGGGAGGAAGAGGATGATGAGTTTTGGAGTATCGCTTCCAGCGGAGGCGTGTTTTTTCTCTCCGTTCGTTAGCTACGTGCACACCCAGTGCTACTACTGCCTCCTAGATTCCGTCTATGAGTGGTATATTTAATAATTAATTAATTAATTAATGGCGATTGCTGTTTCTGCGTGCTAGATTGCTTGCCTGATCGGGCAACAGCGGCGCGCTTTGGAACATGTCAACTTCGCGTTGAAGTATTCACAAATTCAAACAGGCAAGACGTGCAGATAGGCGTAGTTGATTATGATTTTGTCGTTTTGCGTGTACTCTCAACACCACCAGCAGCGGCGTCAGAATCAGAGAATGCCTCATTACGGAGGGGCGATAAAGCTTTGAAAGAGGATCGACCTCCTTTCTCCCACCTCCCTCCTCCCTTCTCCCTTCTCCTTTCTCCCTGTTGAAGACTCTCCTCCGCCTCATGCAGAAGGGGGGCCACGGAAGCAAGTGGGGTTAGCGATAGCAGTTTCGTCGCTTTCGCGACCTGTTATCCGATCCGCATGTTGGGATCGCGATCAGGCTTCCGATTGGAAGATCCAAGTGTTAAGAGTCCCGCTTCCGATTACAAGATCCAGGTGTCGGAGTCGCTCGTGAGATCCACATGGCATTTTTGTTTTGTGGTCTCTGCTGTACAGGGAATTGATAGCTCTTCCTCCGCCTTCTCCTCCTCCTCCTCCTCCTTTCCCCCCTCCTCCTCTGTCTTCCTAGTCCCCTCTTTACCCTTCTCCTCCTCCTCCCTTCTTTCCCCGTCAACTGGCGGGAAAGAGACGCAGTCGACGAGGGGCAAAGAGAGTACGACAGAGAGGTGAGAACGACTCTCTCTCTTTTTTCTTTTTTTCTCTCTTTTTTTTCTTTTCACTCTTCGGTAGGCAGTAGCGGGGATTAACAAAGGGGGGGATGGAACAACAAATCGAACAATCAATCGATTAATCTGCGGAAAAAGGCAGCAGGCACAGACACATACAACCACACAAGTACGGCAGCAGGCAAGGATACACAGACACACACACACACACACAGAGAGAGAGAGAGAGAGAGAGAGAGAGAGAGAGAGAGAGAGAGAACCCGTTCAGCTTCATATCTGATCAGTGGTCCATCCAGAGATTCGAGACCTTTTTATTTTTAAAAAGAAAAAAAACAGCTCTCGTGTGTGTGTGTGTGTGTGTGTGTGTGTGAGAGAGAGAGAGAGACGGGTATCTTCACCGTTCGACAGCACTTCCGAAGTTGTTGCTCAGCGGAAGTGCCTGGTGCACTCGTCGTCTGTTCGCAGCCCTTAGGTTGCCGTATAGTGTGCTTCCACGTCTGTGTCAAGGTGTCGCCAACGGCGGGCGACCAGGACGCAAAGTGGGTTTTTAGGGGGCAAAAAAATTTGGGGGACCGGTCCTTGGCAAAATTGCGGACTACCTACAGCTAGCTC